GGATTAAAAGGTGTCAGAGTTTTACTGCCTCTAGTGTTCATTTCTTTTGGAAACTGCAGTGATATGTACTTATTGGTACGTATTTCACGTCTCACGAAAAAGTGCCCCAGGTACGTTTTTGCCATGAGACCAGGTAGCATGTTTCATACAAATTACATAATCTGAGAATATCTGTTTTCCTTTTGAATTAGTTTATTTGAAAGTAGACATTTCACTCTCTATAGATATATCTTTTTATGGATGTAAGGCAAGCATACGCGGATTTTCTGAGTTTCGCGCTCCAGAGACGGCAGAAAGCGCATCCTGTTTGCTTTCATTATCTTACAAAAGCGCAATATATTGTTGTTATCGTGAGCGCACACAAATAAACATAGAGTCTTTACATATTCGAAATATATATTACTCTTATCTGTATAACCAAAAATGAGGGAGTATTTTAGGAGTAAGTGAGCACTCCGGCGCCTCCATCTGTGTTGCTACTGTTCAGATTCCACACTCCACACAGACACATGAATAGCGCACATTTTTCTAGGTTAACATTATATTGAGCGCCCATATAAAGTTGTTGCTACTTACATATTTCAGATGATAAGCCATATTTTAGGGTCGATGATTGATATGCGAGCGTTTGGATGTCCTGCCCAATGTACTACCACGTAGACCAGCCGTTAACGATCTGTGTGACTTGGCCAATGTGGATTTTTATTCATCTATTCTATTTTTTTTCTGTGACCTAATAAAATTTTGGTCGGCCAAGCCTCTTCTGGTCGACTAATGGTTAGTCGACTATTAGGGGGGCAGCCCTAATAATAACCCGTAGGAGATCTATACAGGTGGAGCTGGGGAAGGTGAAGGGTTTCAGAGCACTTTGAACTGCTCTAGTGGATGCTAACCAGCCATTTAAATGTAGAGCAGTAAGCTCATTGGCTGCATATGCAACATGAACCAATCAGCTTGTGCCAAGTAGTTTAATGCTGTGAATATAATCAGTTTGCATTAACAACCCAGCCTGCACCAGTTTTATGAAAGAACTTGGCATTTATTTGAAATATAAATCCTTGTAACATTATTGACTTTACTGACACTTTTGATCAATTTCATGCATCCTTACTGAATAAATGTATTAATTTATTTTAAAAGAAGTTACTGATGCGATATGTGTTTTAATTGGATAAGAAAACAAGAAAGTCCATTGACAATGTTATTGAGTAGAATTCCAGAATTTTCTTTCTTGCTCTCCATCTCATAATTTTTGAATGGGAAAAAAGGAGCATTTAAAATCTCTCTGAAGACTTATCAGCAGAAACAGTGGAGTTATTTGGGAGTTGTGGTAAACAGTACAGTAAAGACCGCAAAATGAAAGTCAACTGAGGGTAGATCTCTTTCCCCACCGCTCTGCTCTCTGCTGCCTGGCACTGTGGTGAACGTCCTCGGCCAAGTGCATACCAGCCGGCCTAGCCAGCAGCCCTGAGTCACCTCTTATTACGTGAAAGCAGTACGAGTTTCTGCGCTACAATGAGTTCAGCTTTATGAACCAGAATGAGGAGCATTACACTACCCATGTTGCTGGTAATAACATGTCTGTTTAACAAGGTTTTGGCAAAGGTCTTGTAGGAGTGTTTGTGAGCTGGCAAACTACTGTGAGACTGTTGAATGCAACATAGGTTGGTCTGTGATCAGCAGTAAGTTCAAAAGTAAGACTTTTGATGCACTCTTTTTTTTAATTGAAATTTTATTGATGCCAGTGAACAAGATTTCATCTTGACGTCCAGTCTCAATTTTCAAACAGAGAGAGCAAATGAATGTGCTTCCAGTTTGTATATTTGCCTAAATTGCTTGAAAGTACTGAAGACAATATTGTTGTCATTTATATACATTCACATCAGTTTATTTTAGGGGATTTTGTCTCATTTTATTCCACAGATGTAGTAGAGTGACAGAAAATTCTTGAGGAGAGGGAGAGAGAGAGGACGACATGCACTAAGTGCACACTCACTAACTGCTGTGCGATAGCTCAAACCAATTTAATGTCTTTCAGAAATGTTTCATGTTGCCAGTTTTGAATTTGATACAGCTGACTAGGTATTGTTTTGGAAAAACAACCCCTTATTGCTTTTCAATTATTCCTGGTGGCGCTAAAGTATTTATTTATCCAAATGAACTGCATGAAAGCTTCTGAACTAGGTTTGGTGACTTGTGTTTTCAGTTTAGCAGTAGGGTTTTGCTCTTTCCCAATGATAATCCACCTCTGAATATAAAAAAAAAACATCACAATATATTCCAGAGGAAAGCATGCATATGGAATTACATCAGTTAATCATATCTAATCTGATTACAATATTTCCAGGTTTAAATGCTTTCTTAAAATGTGTTGTCTTGCAAAAGGCAATACAGTTTGATGCAGCCAGCAGTTTTCCAGAATAATTTTAGACATTTGTGCATGGTCACAGTGAGTACATATGAGGATGGACATGACTGTGTTTTAAATGCTGTTAATTCTGTGTAATTTTGGGTGATATTTAACAAGATCAGTTGGCTTCTGAAACTTATCCTGTTTACAGAGATAAAAAGTAAGACTGTTAATTCTGCTTGTTGTTAGTCACATAAAAGTCAGCGTAACCAATCCATGTAATTGTTTGGAGAGTCTGATATTTACTCTCTCCTTGCTCTCTTTAATTGTTTACTGGCCAGTGTTTTGTCTTATGCATAATGATAACTCAGAGAGACAGGATGCAGGAGGAGCAAGTTAATGGTTAACGCACAGCTCTGAATATCAATGTGATTTTTACATGCTTCTCTTTCTGTCCTCTCACTTGGTTTGTCCTTTTCTCTTTTCGCTTGCTGCCTCTCCCTCTGTCCCATTCCTTTTCCTCTTTGGAGTTTTTAAAGAGATGCTGTCCAGATCGAAACCTTGTCCTTCCTGATCTAAAATAAGCCAACCTTGGGAGCAGAAGGGGAGGGCATAGCGGCATGCTCCAGTAGCTTCTGCCTTTCTCACTCTCAGATGGGCATTGTTTGATATTGTTTTCAAGGCTGCTGTGAATAAAATAAACGTCTGTGCAGAAAAGTATTATGTTTTCTGATGGTTTGTGTCAACTTTTATATAGTGTTACTTTAATATTAGTTATTTCTAGGGGTGGTGTTATAACTAAACATACGTTTTTCTCTTATTTTTAACTATAAATTATATATACACCAATATATTGCTCTGAAATGGCTTTAAAGAATAATTTCAAATCGGAGGAAACATAATTTCAACCAAACCACATTTTTGACAAGTGGATACCAAATATCAAACCAAGTGCAAACAAAAAGTTTAATGTAGCAAATACAATACAGAAAACAGTAGTTTAAACAACCTAGTTAACAATAATCAAGCATATTTTCCATAGTTTTTGAATAATGAAGACAAGGAATTTAATCATTTATTTACCAATATTTACCAATATAACCAATTATAATAAACAGCAATATTTTTCTGTATTTTTACTTATGTGAAACCTTTAGTGAAAGGTTTAGTGAACATTAGCCATTGTTGTTATTGCTATTAAAAATGTAAATAAATGTGTTAATTGAAATAAAACTGAAATAAAATCTAAATATCGACAAACTTACTTTAAAAATAAAAAACAAAACTTTGCAAAAATTTTTTAAAAACGAATAAAAATGACAAAAGCACATAGCAAAATTACTAAACAAACTACATTTTGAAATGAAAACTGAAAATATAAAAATAAAACTAATTCAAAATATGAATAAATATTATAATAGTATATAAATAATATGACATTGACAGTTTTGTAGTGGTAACACAAATTAACCATTGAATTAGATATGAGTTCAATCCAGTAAATCAGACTGTTAATGGGCAAATAAAACCACATTAAAATAGTTATGTCGTATTATTGCAACATACACAATTTTGCTTGTTGCATTTACAGCCTTGCAAGTGCTTCATTGTAGAAATCCAAATCTAGTTAACAGCTAAAATGTTTATTCTTGTTCTGTTTTTAAAGTGGATATACATAATTGGTCTGTTAATTTGTAAATTTGTTAATGAATTGTAAAATGAATACATATTTTCTCCTGTCTTATCTCACAGTGGAGAGGAGTGCTGCTGAGTTCTTTCTGCTGGAGGATGCAGCGCTGCACTTTACTCGTTTAATGGACAGGCATCTCTACCAGCCTCACTTGTGCGACGTGGACCTCTTGCTGGTTTCCTCCCACAAGGACGTGCTGGGTGACCACATCCCCTACTTCCAGGCCCTCCTCTCCCAGAGTCAACCGCTGCACTGCATAAACCTGGCCTTTCAGTTGCTAAGTATCCAAATCCTCAACATCATCTATATCTCCATCTTCGGAGTCCTACAAGTGGCAGTTGTGCTCCAGATGAGTTCCTGCCACAAGCTACTTGGGTCCAATGAGATGGCAGACACAGATGGGCAGGGTACTGCCTCGTCCAATCAGATGTACAAGATGAAGGAGCTTGAGAAGATGTACACACAACAAGGAAATGGTACATTCTCATTGCTTGACAGTGGGGTCAGTAGGGAAGTTACGCAGACACATTCATCTAGCGTTCACTCCAGCCCTCAAGCCAAACACTTCTACAAAAAAGATGACAGTGGAGGGGGAGTGGCTAGCGGAGGAGGGCGGGGCTTATGCACAGTGGAGGGAGGAGCTAGTCTAAATGAAGTGGGATCCCAGGATAGTTCTGTCTCCTTTAACAGAGAGCAGATTATCGTGGAGGTCAACCTCAATAACCAGACTTTGAATGTTTCTAAAGGGTCCGATGGCAAGGGCGTCACCTCAAGTACCTCATCCTTCCTCGTTCACCGTCACGCCAATCTTCCCAGTGCGGTGGAGGGTAAGGAACAAGACAATAATGAAGATGTTGGTGAGGATGAAGAAGAGGAGTATGAACACAGAAAGGAAGGGATGGAAAATTGCAGCGATGACGAGGACGATGAGGATGAAGAAGAGAATGATCTCGACATTCCAGAAACAGGACGCACTAGCGTGGAAAGGCGGCGTGCCACGAGAATACCAACAGACGCCATCGGCATGAGACAGATGCTAATTGACTCTACACTAGGGAAGGGGAGGAAGAGGAAGAGGAGTAAAGAGCGGGAGAATCTGGGGCAGAAGGTGAAGCTGGAAGAAAAGCAGCACTTTTCTTGCAAGAAGTGCCCTCGTATTTTTAACAACCGCTGGTACTTGGAGAAGCACATGAACGTCACCCACAACCGCATGCAGATCTGCAATAAATGCGGCAAGCGCTTTTTACTGGAGAGCGAGTTGCTGCTACACCATCAGACAAACTGTGAGAAAAACATACAGGTACACACTGGTCTGCAGGCACAAGGTCGATCTATAAGGCTGATTTCACACAGGCCTTTGGAGCAAAGTCAGGGATTGGTTCGTTTGCTTGGTGATTGATTCAAAATTATACAATAAAAAGAGAGACATGCATGGATAGCAGAAGGTAGCAACAATTTAATTGGACCCAGCCGTCAAAACTGAGTGTGAAAATAGTCTAAATTAAACACAAATCTCTTAAGTAGGCCCACACAAAATCTGTGCCCACAGAACTGGGACATTCATTATTTGCAAAGTTATAATTCGTAATGAAATTAACCAATAAGATGATAATTTTGATGCCAATCAAGGTTATTATAGTTAGATTAAACTGAAACTACAATTAAAACCATTATGAAACATTATGTAACCGAAATTAAATAAAATATATTAAGAACTAATTTTAGCTAGTTGCCAATAAAACTATTAAAAAAAAGAATTAAAATGTAAGAATTTTAATTAAAAATTAATTAAAAAAATATATATGGACTATATATAACAATATTAAAAAATGACAGAAACAAAAAATTAATTACTAAACTTTTAAATAAAATAAAAATAAATAAAAATAAAAACTGGTTCAAAATATTAATATATAATTATAACTAATAATATTGAATATATATTTATTACTAATACTATTCAGCTTTTTTAAACCCTTTTATTCAGCCAGGATGCATTGTATTTGTCAAAAAGAACATTTGTAATGTTATTAAATATTTATATTTTAAATAATCACTGTTCTTTTGAACTGAAGAATATCAAAAAATCTCACAGCCAACAAACATTTAAACAGTACTGTACAGGTGCATTGGTTAATATCGCATATATT